AGATGAGATTACCGTGCGACCTCGAGTTTGGATGCCGACCTGGAGAAGATGTAGCTGGTGAATATTTTGTGATCCAGTTACGAAGAAGAATGGACGACATGCATGAATTAGTTCGGTCGCATCTCCAAATCGCCAGCGACAGGATGAAGAAACGGTACGATACTCAAGCTACGGAGGGATGTTTCAAGGAAAGCGAAAAAGTCTGGCTCCATAACCCAAAAAGACAAAAGGATTGTTCTCCGAAGCTTTAAAGGTCTTGGGAAGGTCCGTACCTCATAAAGAATAAAATAAATGATGTAATTTACCGTATAAGTAAGATCCCAAACAGTAAACCAAAGGAGGTGCATCAAAACAGTTTGGCGCCATTTGAGGGTGACCATGAAGAAGAATTAAACCAAATTCAAGAAACACCAGAACTTGTCTTTGAAGAATTTATGGGTGCATATGGAGGTACCGGAAAAGCCAGATATGGTGTTACGACCGAGCAACAACAAGATCTGCTCTCGCTTCCGAAAGACTACTCACTGGTCCATAGTACTTCCGCCAGCATCAACGACGCGCGATGACTGGCATATGTGTTCCGTAAAAAGTTTGGTCGACTGGTAGAACTTCAATGTCAGTTACCAGTCCCTGGAAAAGCCTTGGAACTTCAAGACGGGTCGCGTTATCTTTTCTATTTAATAACGAAGAACACCTTCCGAGATCGATCCACCTATCAGAATGTATGGGAAGCATTACTTAATCTAAGGGAGCACGTACGGGAGTCCAATGTACAGAAACTAGCCATGCCGAAGATAGAAGGAAATCAGCTGGATTGGAGGATCATTAGGAACATAGTGTAAGTAATCTTTCAAGATACCGGAGTCCAAATACTGGTCTGCAGCCATTCGCCCAGTGCCCAGGTTACAGCGAAGATAGTCCCTTGTTACTTCCATGCAACTGGAAATTGTAAAAGAGGATTCAGTTGCAGACACAACCATTCCAGTTTAGTTTCGTAAGAGTTCCAGGAGGAACTATCTCTTAAGGAGGGGGCAATGTTATGTGAGCCATTTCATTATTCAGTCATGCTCTAATCCTCCAAGTCCCTCTCTGTCTTATTTGGCCTTTGAGGCTCAGTTTGTCCGATTATCATACATAATTAAACTACTTAAAACCAAACCTATGTGACGACTATGGCGGACGGGCTTTCGATTAATGTCCGAGAAATAACGGGATAATGTTTCTAGAGTATTTGGTGAATATTCTAGCACATTCGCCAATATTTTAAAGTTGTATATAAATACTGATGGAGGATGAACAAAGTTAGTTAGTTATTATATGGACAGTGAAGATAAATAGTGAACAGTTTTAAGACATTCGAAATATATATAAATTAGAATAATAGTGTTTAAATAAATTATTGATAAATAAACTGTTGTTTAAAATAAACAAACATCACATTAGAATAATTAAAACCGTATAATGTATACATTTATTTTTTCTATTAAATAAATTAACTATAACCTAAGCACTTGCTTGTATTTTACCTATTTCAGCAATTTTCAAACAAAAATAAAATGAAAAGTTATAGTGTCCCGCTTATCACCAACACTTTTGTCACGCGATGACATCATGCGCAGCTCGATTCCAAATTCGTTTCTCAAGTGTTAGTCACCCTTAGTGCAACAACTAGATAACTTGAAATTTACAGTTTTGAGAAAATCCACTTTAAAGATTCAAAACGCAAAAAATACACCTGTTAAGTAATCAAAAATATTTAATATCTATACAGATATGTTGCATATTAAATTATGATATGTTAATTTTGGAAACAATTAGGTTTTATATTTTTGCAGAATTTAATCAAAAACTTGAGATATCTAGTTCTTGCTGAAAAAAGAGTAAAGTTATCTATTTATAACCACTAACAATTAAACGTAAATCACCTACTAAACACAACTTTATTTGGAATAAAAAATTAACAAGATTAGTATAAATAAAACCCAAAAGATTCCACCCTTGACACAACTTAAGTGTCAATATCAATAATGTCGGTTTGGGATTCTTCCATGTTCGTTTACGTTGGTCTCCTTTGAATGGAAGACTTTCAAAAATGCTTTATACTCGCTAGGGAGGGCCGGAGGTTTCATTTTGAACAAAGACATAAGGTCGTCATATATTTTTTTTAAGTGGTATTATTTGAAGACGACATACGTGTTTTACGTTTACAATTTAGTCGTCTAAACTGCCCATCAACATTTTCTATAAAATTAATAATAAATAGCGTCGATTTTAAAAAGTTCAACCAGCATATTTTCTGCCAACTAACCAAGCTTTCATCGTCTTTTCTAAATAATAATTTTCGGTCTGCATAAGTTTTCCAGTCAAGAATTTGATTATGTCTAACATCCTGAACCAAATAGGGTTTATCACCTCTTCTTCTTGCAGAGCGTGCTATAGTTTTCCAATCTTCAGGCCAGTTTACTTTCCCAACTCTTTTTTAGTTCCGTAGATTTAGAAGAATGCATTGAATCACATTCCATCTAACTATGACCAACGACAAGAAATTTTAGTTCGATGGTTTGCAAGTGTGAAATTTTCTGAATCACAGTTAAACACATAGCTGCCACATATTTGTTGAGATTTTGTCCTCCACATCTATCACTGTAGCAAATAATTTGACATAACAACTATAAAGGCAACCAGCAATTTCACAACTCGGTGAAATACTTGCCGTTGCGATATACTGCGAATTTCTTTTTTAGATCCCTAGAAAAAGACCTTGGATTATATCCCGGCGCTCTTAAAGTTTATCCTAATGAGTTAATTAACGATGTGGAGCCAAGAGAGAACGTTGACCCTAAATGCGAAAGAACAGAAAAACAGAATACGTACATTAATTCCGGCTTGGGAGTTTCGGATCGAATTAAGTGTAAAGACATTGAAATTTGGTGTTTATTCTGGCTATAAAACAACGTACATGGTGTCCTAATGAGAAGAGAGCATACAGCGTCGTGCTCAAATTTCGTGTTTGTGGAGAGAATGGGTTAACCCATAGCACTTAGGTTTTACTAGGCCATTATTCATCCTACTAAGTAGATAGGCACAGGGCTGTCGCGGAGATGTACTAAAAAATTCGAGAAAAATGAACTAATTGTACTAAATTTTAGGTGAACTCTCATTTGCCAAAACTGTCACGTATGTTGTCAGTTGTCATGTCAAATCTTATCGAATGTCAACTGTAGGATGGATGGGCGTTGTTTGGTCTTGTTGCTTATATACTTTGAAAAATTGGAATTGGAATATAGGGAGTTTCTTTTCTTTCAAAGGGATATTCACAAAATTCTGCTGCCAAGTACAACACGATGGTTGAGTTTAAAAGCATGTACAGATAGAGTGTTAGAACAATACCAAGCCCTTAAATACTATTTTATTAAATCACTTGCTATTGATTTGGACAATGAGAGCTAATAGAGAAGATCTATCTGATAGACTCAATAACTTGCATAAAAGTTATAGACTATGTGAAGACCATTTTGAGTAAAGAATGTTCACAAATCGTCTTCGTGAACATTTATCCATCACTTAAAGGAAGTTCAAGAGATATTGCCGGTAATCACGCATATTCTAAGCCCATGCTTCTTCCAGCGAAAATACGGATTCTTGAGAACAAAGTATTAGTTCCAGCAACAAAAAGAAACTTAACAAATTACTTCAGGTAAATACTAGGTATAATTAAGGTTATTTATTGATTTTAGATTATTTATTGAAGAATTGTGAGTCTGGAGCCCAGATATACAAGCAGGTAGGCTAATAAATGACCAGGTTTTCCCAATGAGCCTCGTAATTAGCACATTCATTATCCTATTTAAATTTCAGAATATAGTAGGTTTCGAAAATCCATCAGTGCCATTTGTTTTATAAAATTAACGTCATACCATTATTCCTAGTTCAAAAATTATTTAAACTTCTAAAAAACTTAAAAATAATATTAAAAAATACCTAATGCGATACTGTTTAATATAAAAGAAGTATTTAAATCCATCCTTGTCTTCAACCCTCAGTGTGAGAGAGATAGCTATAACAAATTCTAAGAGTTGAAAGATGCCGCCGCCGAATCTTCCAGCTGGTTGTTATGGTAAGCTGTGCTTCTAATAAAGGAAAGCGTCGGGCAATAGTAGATGTTAGGCTTGATGGTTTCATCTTTTTATTAGCACCCTCTGGAGGGTGCGGATTCTGACAGACTCATGATATGGAGATGCTTTCGTATTTGACAATGACCCATCAGAATGCCTGTGATCAGGCGCAGATTCTGCCTAGTCATAGTCAAGTATTTGTTGGTTGAAGTGTTGTCAGGATAATTTAAAAGTTTCCTGGCACGTGTGGAGATTCTTATTTTATCTCATCTTTTCTTGAATTTTACAAGGGAGTGTTTTTTAATTAGGTTTGTCACTACCGATGTTGTCACTCCAATGGAAAAACAAGCTCCAAAAAGTATTCAGTTGGCTGCCTTCTTGGTCAGTGAATCATCAAAAAGGTTACCTTTCGATGTGGCGCGATCATTGATCCATCTTAAGGTGACCACATTGTTGATGGATACATCGGCCAAAGCGTCGTGATATTTAAGTACTAACCCTGAGTAAATTCGTGGCCTATCCAGGGTGAGTAATATACTTGTCTGCTATCTGTATAGATGAGCATATTCCCTCCAGTAGTATTACTTCTAGTGATTTCTTTTGCTGCTACGAGAATCCCGTGATCTTAGTTTGAACTACACTCGCACTAGTGCTCACATCATGCCCACTTTTGTTGCACGAACTACTATTTTAGAGTTTAAATCATTAAATCAGACGTTCCTCAAGGATCCATTTTGGAACTTGGTATATAATTCTGACTTATCAAAGGTACTTGACGAAATAGTGGCTCAATTATGAACCTCGAGACATTATTGACAATTCTATTTATAGATGTTTCTTTACCATAGTGTTTATAAGGAAGAAGTTATAAATTAAACTAAGAAAGTTACTTAATGCCATAATATATTTGAGTTAATAAACTAGTCTAGATAAGATAAAACATTTAAAAATGAAAATTTATTATATTAGTTTTTATATCGCCGCGCTGTCAAGAGTTTAAAATTGTACTGAAATATTGTATAATTTTTGTTCGAAATTTGTCCATTACAAAACTTGTCTTAAATGCTTTATCTTACCTAGTAAAAATCTACATTTCGTAAATGTTGTTTAAAATAAAAAATGTTTACATTTATGGACGCCAGGAAATATTGTGCAATCCATGAAAAGTTTTTTTCAAATTCTGGCTATCGGACCATGTTGAATTCATATAATTGTCGTCGTCGTCTTTATCTAATTTCTTCAGCTCTTCCTGCCTTCGATAAGCATGTAACATCATTTGCTTTCTCTCGTTTTCTGTCATTATTGGTTCTCTGGCTGGCGGACCGGAACCTCTCTTCGAGATCTTCATTACAACTTTACAGTTTTCTATTTTACCAACATAGTCACCCACTGTCTTTCCATCCCTTAAAAAATTAACAAATTTGCAAGTTTATTAACTAATTGCTAAATATCTGCAATTGAACCATTTGCTTCAAACAAATCAATCTACTAATTTTGTACAGGCTGCTTTAAAATACATGTTGATATTAAAATAGGTTTTCGGTTCTAATAGAATATGCAAAAACGCCACTGAAGTTAGCATAGCTAAATATCAAAATCTAGATCATCTAAGCTCATTAACCACAAATACTCGAGTCACTGTCTGCAATTTTAATCTCGTTATTTTAATAGCAAACTTCCTACATTCCTCGACAATTCTGATGATTAGACAACACTGCATGGTTGTTACTGCATGAATGATCGGTGACGAACATCGCTTTTTGTATTGAAAAGCCTTATGTATGCATACATCATGGAGATAGGATATTGAAGGAGATGCTACGTTAGTTTAAACATGTTTTCTAAAAATGACATCAGTGTGCCGGGTTAAGTAGACGTAAGTGAAGCATAAATATTGCGGCCAAGTTTACTAATATGATTTTTTCCGATTTAATTTGAAAGTAGTTATAAACAATTATTAGTTTAATATAATTTTCGGTTGTATATTTAGATTTAGTGAATTTTATTTCAGAACCATAAAAAATCAACTTTTGGAAAACTATCTATTTAAACCTATTTAAACAGAAATTGTAAAAAGATTGGTAGTTATTGCATATTTTAACACAAAGGGAATTAAAATTTTTTCATGAAAAAAAATTTGTTTCTTTAAAAATCGTGTATTTTTGGGTAAAAAGTGTTATTGTAAAAAAAAAAAAATATTTCCAGTGGCGGCTTGTAAACAAAGTATTGAGGGTTCACAATGACAGTTTATAGGTACAGATTTAGGTAAAACACTTTTAGTGTTTTAGAAAACACTTTCAGTATATTAGAATAGTATATTATAAACAGTGAAAGTTTTTTACCTAAATCTGTAAGTATTGAGATCTATATTTTGTTATTATGAACCCCAATATTTTGGTTACAAGCCACCACTGTTTATATATACTTTTACCCTAAATTTAACAGTAGTTTTACAAAATAAACCCGTACTGAACATGAATCTTAAAATTACTTGCACAAAAATAAAACATACGTCATTCGGTATGAAATACATTTATTGCCCTTTAAATAATACAATTTTATTACGATGTCTAGTACTCAATGACTTGTCAATTTTGTTCTTACTACTAAAGTCTGATAATAGTATATTTATTGGCGACTGCTTTTATTAATAAACCCCTATGATTTTCCAAAGGAGATTGGTCCAAGGAATTATAGTAGAATCGCAATCTACACGGAGTAATAAATCAAATTTTTTTGGTAGTTGTACAGCACAGGCGGCTCAAACAAAATCTGTGATTTTAAAGAGCTGGCAGTTAAAAGGTATGGAGATCTTTAGATTTTTACCTGTACCGCCCGGTCATAGAACGTAAAAATGGACTACCCTAATTTTATCCCTTTTATGACTCTGATGAGCGCACAGTTGGGTAAATTAGGGGATATTTGTTCGTATTATTTTTATGTTACTATTTTATATTTGAATAATTGTTATTTTTATATGTTTTTGATGAGTCCCCTCGCCACTCACCCCTGAAAAAAAAATTTTAATGGTTGGCCAATTTTTTTTTTGTTTTTTTGGTGTTAACATATTAACAACTTCGTAAATTTAATATTTTGACCACTTTTTGACATGATTGATATGATTATAACATTTAGATATAAAACAGATATGCTTACCTACTCTCGGAGATCAGGAAACGTGAAAGTCTCTGAATAACTATATTCCATTAATGAGTCATTATTGATATTATTAAAGGTGACACTGTAGTATCGACATCAAAGATTTTTGAACCCTCAGATTACTTTCTATAATCTAAGTTGAAACATTTCTCTCCACTTGTCATTAACTTTCACCTTTACATAAAAAATTTCCAAGAAGTCAATGATGAATAACGATTTAAACAATTTAATGTAGGTATACCTAATAGTCAAATTTATAAGTCTTGGAACATATTTGTTATATACCTTGTTAATTTACTCACACAGATAAATCTACCATTTATAATAATTACAAATAACTCAAAAAACATTTTGTAAAGTACCTACATACCGAAATAATACTCAATAATACATATTCAAAAAAATATATACACTGGGTATAATAAACTGTACCTACAGAAGAATCAGACGAATTTCTATATCTGGCTTTTATAATTGTTTTACATTTTAAGCAAATATCTATCACCTCAGTGAACGGGTACTGTAAATTTTTCTTATTTATCTTTAGAGATAAATGAAAAAATATTTAAATTTGTATTTACACTAACATATTTAAACATTGTTAGACTTCTGAAAATATGAACAACATTTCTTCCAATGAAAGTGAAATTTTCTTGTTATTTATACCATTTTTACTTGCGCAATTGGCACACGACGCCATTGTTCTTTTAATGTTTTTGAGACGAATAGTTTATATAAACGGATATTATTAATTATACAGACATTAAACAGTAGGTGCATTAAAATACAAACTGTCACAAGAGAAGGAAGTCTAGTATCAATATGGTCGACGTGATTGCGTATCCTTCCCTATTTTACCTCCATGGCATACATACATAACCTAATAAAAAAATGTGGTTTATTGTTGCCGCTGACGTCACAGCGAAATGTACAGTTGACGAAACAGAAATGTTAACGTTAAAATTATTAATAGTGTGATTTAAACTTTGCATCATAGTTGTTCGTTGCATTTAAATTTTGAGAGCTCTTAAAAATTGCTGTCAAACAAAACTTCAAAACAGCACCATTTAACTGAAGCAAAAAATCGAGGGCTATAGATCTGCAATTCTGGTGAACACAACGAATAACGCCCACGTTGGGCGCCAATTTATTACAGGTAGCCTGATACAGGGGTTCAAATTATCGAACTCCCCTAATCAGGTTGACTAGTAACCTCAGGGTCGGGTTCCTGTAAATAGAGAAAAGAAAATGACTGATAGAATGTGAACGGGCCTTTATTATCTTATAACCTCGATTCCTCGATCGTTGTCAAAAGTAAAATTTATAACCAACAAATTACATTTATCCGAAATGTGGACTATTATTAGGAACAAAAGAAAATTATTATGTACAAGGCGTTCCCACAACTATTCTTACCTTTAACTTACATACACTTATAATATATAACCCTCCAAGTGGGTGGTAAAAGTGCGGTTACGTAGAGTACTCTTCGTATTACAAAAGAAAACCCGGTAGGTGGATATTACAATTAATAAGTATATATACAAAAGAAATTGAGTATTTAATCAGGTATTTAACTCTGTTTGTTGTAGGCTGAGTCTCAAACAACCTAATCTGGTTAGTAGATGGGGGCCCTCCGAAATATAGAGTTAGAAAAAGGAACCGTCTTACCTGTGATTAAGTGAACTCAATGAAGGACGATGTCCAGTTAGGTAGCTTCCTCTTGATGTCGGTAGGTAGACCGTTATGAAAATTACTTCGTATTCGGTTATCTAATTGTCTGTACTCTGTTGCTAGCACGCAAACGGTGAAGTGGAGAAGCCCTATTCTATATGGAGAGGTGGAGAACTTGCCCACAGTCCTTAGAAGTATTCCTCTAATAAAAGCGTTACTCAGAATTGTAAATCGGAGCGAGCGAAGGAAGAACGCACTAATGAAAGGAGCGAACCAAGGAGGTCTGAAAAACATTGACGATTGTAACTATTATGTATACAGAAGGCTGTTGGGAATATAGGTAAATGAACTAATAACTCATTTTGAAAAACTCACCCTTGATGGTATGTGACCTTTTAGATTATTAATAATTAAATTCACACTTTTAGCAGATACAATATCCACCAGTAGGTGTATGAATCACAAAGATCACTAACAATATATCGGACTAAAGGAATCTATGGTTTTTGCACAAGAATAAATCCTAGAAAATCCTAGTTGAAATCTTGGCACATGCCACAATCAGAATCCAAGCAAAAACTGGGCCAGGAAGGAAGTTCCACAAAATGGCCAACAAAAGTCAATGTCTTAGCAAGAAGGCCCTGACTACAAAAGGGTAATAGGATAATTTCTGGTAAGACTGTGGTCATTATTTATAAATTAAGAAAAATCTGACAACTGAAGGAGTTAAAATTGACATGTAAACAATAACAATAAAAATAAAGCTTTTTAGTAATTAAATGAGCTAGAGTTATTGTTCAAAGTAGCGAAATATATTTACTTACATTATAAATTATTTATTAAGGTATTAATTATTATTGAATATACTCCAGGTGAGATTATACTCTATTACAAAACATTATTTTATATTTTACTACAAAATATGTTTGATAAAAATGGATATTTTATGAATTTATTTAATGGACCCATTTTATTGATTTGTATACATTTATATACCGCACACTCTTAAATCGAAAGGTAACTAAAGAGATTAGCATAGGTTATAGTAGTATAGGTAAGTATTAGTTTAGTAATTAGAGTAGCTTAGGGTAAGTTAGAATGAAATAGAAGTAGAATAGTGTACCTAGTTAAGCGTAGGATAGTTTAGAATAGTGTAGTTTAGTCTAGTTTAGTTTAGAGTAGCTTAGAAATAGATAGGCTAGCAAATAGAATAAGTTAGAATAGTATAAATTAGGGTATTTTAGACTGGAATAGATTTAGGTAGAATAAAACCCGTAACAACAAGATCTAACAAATCTGAAATCCATCAGAGAATTTTTGAACGCATTTGGTGGAATGTTAGAGTATAAAGCCTAAAGAGAAGAAAACGAATCGACAATGGACAAATTTCAAATTTCCGTCCTTCTTTTATAAAGTTCGCCAAATTGACTATAGTTGGCGGGTCGAACGTTAGTGACGATAATTTTCTATGTAAGTCAATGTGAAATAAATAATTTTTTTAGAAATTAGTTGAAATAATCAAAATAATGTGAAAAAAAGTACCTAAGTACGAGTAACAAGTGACAAAAAC